AGAGAGGAGAAGTTCATTTTATACTGATCGTCGTAAATGAACTAGGCCTCGGTTAATTACTGCGTTCTCTTAACCCGTAAGATATTAAACAGGCAGATATATATAATATATATTACTTTGATTCACATGGGTGAGGTTCAGTTCGCTGGATTAATATTCCTACTGTTTTGGGTAATATTATTATATATACGATGTGCTGTTAGGATATTTACGGTCACCATGTGTGTCAGTTTGATGATGTCCCCGGAGTGAGTTCATGAAGGATTGTTATGCTAAACCCTGTAGGTGGATTAAGTTCCGGCATAATAAGAATGTGATGAACGAGCGCTAGCTTCGGTGAAATAATAATAAATTAATTAATTCATGATTGTCAGTAATCGAATTAATTAATTGACATTATATCTTAAACGTGGGGAGGTAAATCGAGTAATTATTATTGGAGTCTCAAATGTAATTTGAGCTAGGAAGAGGGAGTGCAATAATATAATGTTGGTGGCCCATTAATATTATTTAATTAATTAGAGGAGTGGGCTTGGCTCACAGTTAGTCTAATTAATTAAGGAGCCCTTTTTCTAATCTCCTTAGGGTCCCTACTGTAGCTCTATATATACATCATTAAGCTCATGAGAAAAGAAGAGAGTTCACATCTCACGTGAAACACGCCTCTCTCTAGATCTCATTCGAGCTTTATCTTCTTCTTGTTGCTCCACCGGTACAAGTTGAAGAAAGGTGTATTGAGTAATACAGTAGAAGATCTGTAGGTAAACCGAGACGAAATATATTTTGACCTACAGAACTAACCGAAAGTCCGATTAAGATGTACAGTATACCCAGACGACTTTCTCGACGAGAGCTTTCCATCGCCGCCGACGTCGCCGGATTCCGACGCCGCACGCGCCCTCACGCGCCGTCGGAAGGTGCCTGGATGCAATTTTTGTTTTGATCTGTTTGCATCCGTTTGATCCGGTTTTGATCTGATCTTGTTCGCGCAACCCAAGACGTGATTTGCGGTCAATCGTTCGTGGTCAACCAGATCTACATAAATTTTAAGCCGTAAGTTCTCTACGTCAAACCTTTAGATCCGCTGCGCATAGGTTTACGTTTGCTATTGAATTCGTGATTTGTACATAACGAGATCCTCACAGATCCCAACATGAGGGGGGTTGGGTTTTAGGGATTTTAATGAGGCTTTAACCCTTACGCAACTCTGGAGTGTTCTAACAATGTCAAATATTTTTATGAGTAGAGTTACTAGAGGAAGATCTTTTATATAATCAAAAGTTAATTAGTGTTAAAAAGAGGATTTTGATTCATGGGTTTGGAAAAGCTGGTTAGAGGCTAGAGCCTCTCTAAAATTAAGGATTAGGTTCCAAGTGGGGAATGAGTTTCCACTTCATATATGGGATTCACCTTAGATTACAGATTCACCAAATTTCATGCCCCAACGTTCTTTTGAAGTGGATAGACAGAAACTATGCAAGGTGGCTGGTCTTATGGTTGCAGGAAGCAAGGAGGGGAACAAGAAGTTGGTGCAACAATCTTTTAAATCTACAGATGCCACAAATATCTTAAATATCCATGTAAGCAGTGGGGGCCAAAGGACAGACTAGTGTGGAGTCCAAACAAGAAAGAGATCTTCACTGCCAAGGAAGCTTATAAACTTATCCAACAAATGAAGGAGAGATTATCAGTACAAACATAGTCTAGCAAATGAGGGAAGATGAGACAGAGAGTGTGGGGAGCTACATGGA